ACATAAAGTTATAAAGTATAGGCTCGGGGCCATGTGGAGATCTAAGGTAAAACCAAGTGCATCAGGGAGGCTTTCTCTCCCACTGTTAAGAAAAATCTAGAAAACAAAGCCTTACCATTTAAGGCTCTCTTCATCATGGACAATGCTCCTGCTTATGCTCAAGATTTGGAAGAACTGACTGAAGAATTCTCATGGATCTCAGTTGAGTTTCTCCTACCTAACATAACACTCCTACTGCAGCTTATGGATCAGCAAGTTATAGCAAACTTCAACAAGTTAAACACAAGGAACTGTTCCCGAAATGCTTCCAGAAGGTCTGCTACAGATTCAATCCTTAAAGAGTTCTGAAAGGAACATTACAACACCTTTTCCCACATGTGGTTAATTGAGAAATCCTGGGCCAACGTCTATCTAAGGATACTGATACCTGCCTAGAAGAAAGTGTAGCCTTAAATTATACTGGAGAGAAACTTGGTTTTGTTTTTGTCTTTTTAAGACAGGGTTTCATCATGCAGTTCAGGTTGACTTAAAATTCACTGTATAGACAACTTGTGGCAATCCTCCTGCCTCAGCCTCTCAAGTGTTGGAATTACAGGCCTGTACCACCACGCTAGACCTGGAGAGACACTTCCAAGGCTATGTAGAGGAACTAGAATCTTCAACTGACCCTGTGCTTGATGACACTATTACTGTAGCAGAGTCCATCAGCTTGCAAGTAGGCAGAGGTGATACTGAGGAACTGGTAGAGAAACATTCAGAGAAACTGCTCACAGAGAAACTAGCTTAGCAACAGAAAACGGCAGTTGAGCTTTCTGAAGAGGAAGGGGAGTATCAACAATCAGTGCAGCAAAGTTCTTCTGAAATAAAGGAAATCCTAAAAAAAAATGGACAGAGCTACAAACATTTGTAGAGAAATTTGACCCAAAGAAAAAGCCAATTACTGCATTCACTTGCTTAATGACAATATCATGTCATACTACATAACACTGTTGAAGAAAAGACAGAAACAGGCAATCTTACACTGGTTTTTAGTTCTGAAAAGATTAAGACGTAGTGAGGCAGAAGCAAGCCCTCGTGGCCTAAAGAGTCTCCCAAGGAGAGAAGGGATATCAGAGAGACAGATTCCTGATGTTCTTATGAAAAGGGATTCTCCTTATAAACAATAATCCCTTCCATTTCATCCTCCCCTGCTGAAAGCCAAAGATCTCAACTTGAGTGGTGAGTACAGTATGAAATTATTTCTGGCAAACTAGGCATATAACTTTTTGGTGACTACACTAGGAAAATTACTGGTGTTTCTGGTCTATCATGCACATTATACAACCCTTTTTCATTATGAAAAGGTTAAGGGGTGCTTTGGCAAGTTTGAAATGCATTATGGGTATTTTCATTATTTCTTAAGGGAAAAACAGTCCCAACTTACAACAACTTGAGTTAAACCAGCCCTGGGTCTGCTGTATTCCAGTTGTTACCAGGAACACACATTCTAGAGGAAAGCACTAGCTGTTTTATCCCTCCTATCTCCTGTAGGCCCATGAACAATGATGTTAAAGCTATGGTGGTGGGGGGGGGACGACAAAAGAGAGGCAGACCTGAGCCTTGTGGCCTCCAGGAACAATAAACACAACTACAGAGTATCACAGCTACCCTCAACCGTAGGATCCTTCAGGACAGACATCACTTTTTTTTTTATCACCACTGTATCCTAATGACTAACACATGCACTAAAATATTTTCCAGTGAATAAAAATAACAATGTTACATGAGTGCTTGTAAGTAGATGTAGAGATGATTAACCAAAAAAGCTTTAACATTGAATTTGAACTTTCAGACAAGATAAAGAATATTTGATTATGGAATATATTGTAAGAGCAGAAACAAGAGAAAAGGAAAAAAAAAAAAGGACTTCATCTACAAAAACAAAAAACAGTGCCATAATTAGCTGTGTGTGGTAGTGCACGCCTGTAATCCCATCACTCTGGGAGGCTGAGGCAGAAGAACCTCAAATTCAAACCTAGCAACTTAGCAACTGAGTGATCCCTGTCTCAAAAAATTAAAATGGCATAGGGTGTAGCTCAATGCAAAGGCCTGGGTTCTATTGCTAGTACCACAAATACAAAACAAGTGTCATATAACTTGCCAAAGAAGAAAAATAGCTACTGAAAAGATACTGAAACCTGGACACAAAGTCACACGGAACTTCATTCATTCAATGAATATTCACATGGCCCTTCTACCCTATGTCAGAGTATTCCGGATGCTGGGCACAAAAGTGGACAAAAGTGGACAAAATAAAGTGGACAAAATAAAGTCACTGTTTGCAAGGAGTCTGCTTTTGGTATGGGGATGGGTAGGCAGGAAATAGGCAATACACAGATAAGAAAAAAAAGTGTTGTGTGTGCACGCTTGCACGAGAGCACACTTGAATGTACTACTTGTTCATGAGTGCCAGAAGATACAGGGGAAGAAATTTAAAAAGACAAGCAGTTGGAAGCAGTGAGGCTGCAGCATATTCAGGGAAATTTTCTCCAATAAAATGATTGAACATTTCAGTAGAAAACCAAAGCTGGTAAGAGAGCCAGCCGTGCAGAAATCTGGAAAGCGCGTTCCAGGCAGAAGAACAGAAAAGTGCAAGGCAGAAGCAGCTTGGTGTGTTTAAGGATGCACAAGATGGTGAGGGCACCTAACCAGAGACTGAAGGGCGAGGAGGAGGGGGTGAAGCGGCACAAGTAGCAAGGATGAATCGTGGAAGTCTCCTAGGACAGTGGCACATATGACACTGGCTTTTTTGCTGACAGGGGAGGTATGAAGCAACTGGAAGGCTCGTATGGGTAAAGGTAGCAAGAAACAGAAAATAAATTTCTTAAAAATGGAAGATTTTCTAAGGTCTTGGTGTATACTGCTGATACATACACTGCTTTAAATAATTACAGTATTACTTTTAATTTCTACATTGATGTAAGTTTCACATTAGGGCCCCTGTCTTATTTACTACTGGATCTCCAGGCCCTTAAACAGTGCCTGGCATTAAAATAAACACTAAGAAATACTTGTTAAATGTACAAGTGAATGAAGAAATGCATGAACACAGTCTTTCTTTGAATACATCTGCTTAGCTCTAAAGGCAAAAATCACTTTCTTAAGCTACCATCACACAAACTGGCTAAATTGCACCTTGAGCATTCTAAACTACTTGTGTTTTGCTACATGCCTGAAAGAACAAAACTTCCTTTCACAGTTTGGCAATAAATTTCTTTCTCCGGGAATCTGTGATAAACAGTATTTTAGTAAGTAGAAAAAAGAAAAGTAAATACACAAGTTTTATAAAGTTGTCACAGCCTGCCACAAAACTTTAAGTGGGAGTTATTTTTAAACTATTTTAAATGGCAGTGGGAGGAAGGGTTGGGTTTATGTCCTGGGAAGTACTTTTACTCCCAAAGGCTTCAACTAGCTGTCCACCAGGGGAAAGGGCACTAGAAAAAATAGTTTCAACTGTTGCTGGCCTAAGAAATATGGTACAAAGTGAGCTTTTTGGATTCCCTCTGAGTACAATGTAAGAATACAAAACTGAACTATCGCACGGAGAAAGTCACGGAATTTTGGTTTTCTGGTCAAGAAGTTTAATTTCATACATACTTCACAGCTTGTCCTATTTGGAATGGAAAAAACAATAAAAATAAGCTTTTGAAAAGGATGAGAAAATATATGTATATCTGTTCTGTGAAAGCAAGCATTCCAGATACTGTTTTGCCTGCAGAGACATGATAGAAGTGATAACCAAACCTCATCAGTTAATAATGAGAGTTCACTGGAGAAATGTTAAAATTCACTAATAACCAAATAATGTTTCATATGGATAAACCTAACATGTCTTCATTACTCCTCCCAAGTATTCAAATGTTTCCAGGTGTGTGACAGCTCAGTTGCAACATATTATAATGCTTTAATGGCAGCACATGTTGTCATGTTACTTTCCTCTATTAAAAAGTCAAAAGTGTATTTTCCAGTTCCCTCTCCACACTTGATTCCAAAAAGACCCCTCCCTCCAGAACGTGGGGCAGTGTCCCTGAGGGTTTGCCTCACAGGCACTGCAGCAAAACTGACACCCATGTGCTCGCAGAGATTTATGTTTATATCGAAGGAAAATATGCTCTGAAACATGCGTGTAAACTAAGCTGGGTTACACAAAGCACTTTGTGGAGTGCTTCCTGAGGGAAAATATTTAAACCCATTGTGCAGCAAGGAAGTAAGTAAGTAGGTCAAATGAAATGAATTTCGTGGAAACTGGAAATTAAAATCTGGGGCCACCTCCTTTAGTAGTGATAAAAATGATCAAAAACAGATAAAAATTACTACATGGCACATTAAGTAGTTGTATTCCCTACTCAGTCTCTAACAAGTTACAATTAAGGCTTTTAAGAGTCCTCAAGTAACTCACTCAAGATCACATGAATAGCTGTGGTTGTCAAGACTGAGTTACTGCCTAAGGATAGATAAAGCAAAGAACTGAGAGTTCAGAAAGGAATCCATGCAGTTACAGTGAACTGATTTTCTACATAGCTGTTAAGGCAATTAAATGGGTTAAGAAGTCTTTTTGCCAGGTGTGGTGGTGATCGCAGCATCCAAGATGGTGAGGCATGATGGTCTTAGTGAGTAGCTCAGCCTAAGCTACATAGTGAGTTCAAGGCCAAATGTTATGGATTAAGAACTGGTGGTCAACTTAACACCAGCTGGATTACATCAACATGGCACTGAACGAAGATGTGCCACCTGAGGAAAGTTGCCAGGATAAATAGGTGGAGAAGAAGGGAGGTGTTGAGGCGTTAATGCGTTGTTGCGTGGAGGTATTGTGGGTTCTCCTACATGTTGCTGTTTGAGCCATTGTTTCTCCTGGAGAAGCTTTGGTCCTAACATCGAGCATTGCTTCCTGGCTCCAGAGGGGAAAATGTGTGCTGCTTGGTCTCCAGGATGAACTCGTCATGTTGCTTCCTGGCACGTACCCGACCGTGCTTGTGTTCGGAGGAGCTCCGGGCCTCCATGTCGCGGAGGACCGCTGTGGTGCCTTTCAGAACAGCCCTGGTCTTTGCTGTGAGTGTGACTTCTCAGCTCCACTGTAGATCCCTCATCCCACCAGCACAGCTCCTTCACCCCGCTGAAATGGACTTTCTGGCTTCCACCGCTGACCTTTGGGCCTTCCCGGCATGGATCCGTAAAAAGAGACTGGTGTGAGTACTTCTTGTGGGTTCTGGACCTCCAGTTGGACTCATGGTAGGAATTGTCATGAGCTCTGGGTTTTTATTTGGACTCATGTGGGACACTGCTGTGGGATTTAGGTCCTTGACTAAAATATTCTATGTCATTGATGTTGCAGATAGATTTTCTGCATTTTCTTCTGTTAACTCCTGGTGACCATTATAAAAATATTATAAATTCCATGTCCTGATTCTAACTGTTCTCTGCACAACCCCTAACTACAACACCAACCTAGCATGACCCTGTTGGAAAAAAAAGAAAACCACAGAAAAGTGGTTTCAATAAAAACTGCAGGAACTGAAATCTTACCTGCAAAAGAACGAATCTGGACCTCCATCTCATACCATATATAAAAATTAATTCTAAATGGATGAGAAACCTAAATAGTATACATTTTTGTCACCTTGCATTAGACAATAGTTTTCAGATATACTTACATCAGAAGCAACCTAAAGAAAAACCAATGAATGCAAATAAATTTAACTTCAGCAAAATAAAAAACTTTTGTATTTCAAAGAACAATTACAAAAGTGAAGATATTTCACAAAATGGAAGAAAAATTCATAACTCAGATATGTGATATGGATTTAGCAGCCAAAATCTATAAAGAAATTATAACTCTACAATAAAAAATCCAATTTTAAAAAAAGGTTTTATTAAATGTTATTTGCATTCTCTGTGCAGTCTCTAACAAAGTATAGATCTCAGAGGTCTCAGAATCCTCAAGTAACTTTCTCAAGATCTTATGTCTAGCTGGACTACGTAGGAAAACTCTTCAAAGAAGACATAAAAATAATCAATATCCACATAAAAAGATGTTCAAGGTCATTAGCCATCAAAGAAATGCAAATTGAACTATAATGAGTACCACTTCACACCCACGAGGATAGTTATAATCAAAAGACAGATGAAAGAAATTTTGGTGAGGACATGGTAAAATTAGAACTTTTCTAAATCTCTGCTGAGAATATGAAGTGATGAAACACCTTTGGAAAAATATTAGTTTCCCAATAGATTAAGCACAAAGTTTCCATACAACCCAATACTTCCATTCCTAAATATATGCCCAAGAGAACCGAAAACACATGTTCACCCCGCCAAACAAAAGGTTAACAAAGGTTCATAGTGGCACTATTCATAATAAAAAGTGAAACAAACCAAGTATCTATTTAATGATGAATGAATAAACAAATGTGAGTATATCCATATGAGTGAAATATTATTCAACGATTAAAAGGAATGAAGTACTCATATATAGCTACAATATGGATACACCCAGAAAAAAATGCAAGCTGAAAGAAGTCAGTCACAGTAGGTCACATGTTACATGATTTCACTTACGTAAAATACCCAGAGTAGGCAAATCTATAAATACAGAAAGTAGATTAGTGGGTAACCAAAGCATGGGGAAATATAAAGGGAAAATGACTGCCAAAGGATACAGGAATTCTTTTTAGGGTGGTAAAAAACATAAAATTTTATTTCTGCTCAACTGTAAATGCCATTTTATTCTGAAGACTATATTGACATCAAATATAAAATAACTATCCCAATCTATCCCAGCCAAATCCTTTTCCTCATATTTTTCTTCACATTTCTTCATTAACATACACTCATGCACACAGTCTAATTAGTATTCACCTAATTAGTAAGTAGCTGGCAGTTAGCTGTATTTATATATAAACAATGAATTAATGAACATGGATTCCTAAATTCCACAAGAAACTGGGCTGGTATTCTATAACTCTCCCTTGTGACAAGGGACATTTCAACCAAATGTTTTCTAGACCTAGTAGAAGTAAGGATTCAAGAAGTGTGGGTGATTTCTGAGGAATGCTTAACCACAGCTTTTATACTTGGCTCGGACAATGTTATGGATTAAGAACTGGTGGTCAACTTAATGCCAGCTGGATTATATCAGCATGGCATTGAGTGAAGATGCTCCACCTGAGGAAAGTTGCTAGGATAAACAGGTGGAGAAGAAGGGAAGTGTTGAGAGTTAAGGCATTAAAGAAGCATTGTGGGTTCATTCTATGAGTTCCTGTCTGAACTGTTGGTTCTCCTGGAGAAGCTTTGGTCCTCACATCGAGCATTGCTTCCTGGCTCTGGAGGGGAAGATGTGTGCTGCTTCGTCTCAAGGATGAACTCGTCATGCTGCTTCCTGGCATGCACCTGACTGTGCTTATCGTTGAAGGAGCTCGGGGCCTCAGTGTCGCTGAGAATGGCTGTGGTGCCTTTCAGGATAGCCCTGGTCTTTGTTGTGCGTGTGACTTTTCAGCTCCAGCATAGAACCCTCATCCCACTAGCACAGCTCCTTCATCCTGCTGGCATAGACTTTCTAGCTTCCACAGCAGACCCTTGCGTCTTCACAGCATGGATCCGTAAAAGAGACTGGCGTGAGTCCTTCTTGTGGGCTCTGGACCTCCAGCTGGACTAGTGGGAGGCATTGTCCTGAGCTCTGGATTTTTATCTGGACTCATGTGGGACAGTGCTGTGGGGTTTAGGCTCTTGACTAATCTATGTCTTTGGTGTTGTGGATAGATCTCCTGCATTTTCCTGTGCTAACTCCTGGTGACCATTATAAAAACAATATTATAAACTCCATGTGTTGATCCTAATTGTTCTGTGTTCAACCCCTGACTACAACAGACAATGTTTTCTTACCTGAAAAAACAAAGAAAATATAACTGCTACAGCAGTACTTTTTAGTGGATTTGTTCATTACAACAAACCTATCAATGTTGTCTTTTTGTTTTGGTTGAGACAGGGTTCTGCAATGAAGCAACAGAAAAATAACTTCTAGAATCACAGCGCATCAGGGCAGGGGTCAAAAAGCAACACTTTGCTAGTGCATGGCTGGAAGTAACAGTGAGTTGTGACACTGCCATTTCCATTCCTTCACTTGGGACCCATGGATACTGGCTATAGAAAAATAGGACTGCCTGTGGGACATTGCTTTCCTGCAGATACAGCCTCCTGGAGAATCTTGCTCAAGTCCTTCGAGGTATTGTCACAGAGCTGGTGGTAACTGGGTTTCTCAAAAGATAGTTATATTCTTCTAAGTAGGTGCTTCAGGATGGTGGAGAACATGGAAAACTAGTGCACTCCACGAGCACGAGACCCAGTCCCAAAATCCATTTGCTCTGAATGCAGGTCCTTGATCAGAAGCAGTGGATTACGATGCATTAGACGTGTTCTAAGTCCACCCAACCTTGGTTTTTTTCCACCATCCTTGTGAGGCAGTCAGACAACCATAGGACAGAGGACAAACTTCTGACCCCTCAATGTGGAGAATTTTCTTGGCAAGATTGGAGGAGAGAAAGGAAAGAAGCTGTAGGTCATGAAATTAGTAATGTGAAAGAAAGGGAATCTATCTCTTGTTTTAGTAGACCAATGACTTCTTAACACTTTAAAAAAGTTTTTTGGCAGAAGACCCTGTTTCTTTGTACGTGTGTACAGATGTTTTATTGTGTTAAGAATGCAGTATACATTCATTATATTAACCATTAGTTCCACAAAGAATGTTTTCAGAGATGCCACTTAGGCACTTTGGGTTCCTGGTCCTGTGAAAAGTGGACACATGCAGGCTGGGGATTTAGCTCAGTGGCATAAGCCTGCCTTGCAAGCAGGCAGTCGTGAGTTCGATCCCTGGTACCGATAAAAAGGAAAAAGACAAAAAAAAAAAGAGGGGGGGGCAGATGCTCTCCAATTCTTGTCCCACCAGGTACCATCTCCTGTGGGGGACGAAGAGATGTGGTCCTTAGACCCTGCGTATGGGGCCCTATGGCTTCTGCAGGCTTTGGCAGCCAGGCACACTGTCTCCCATGGAGGAGCTTGAGGCAGCCTGCTGAGGCCCTGGTAAACCTCCTAGAAGTTTCTCCTTTGCCTCAGTGTCTTTATGGCTGCATCCACCCAACCAGCCAACTCCTGACTTTGGCTGAACAGTGGCGAAGGTGCTCCATGGGGCAAGGGGTTGGGACCAGGGAGGGTTGAGACTGAGAGTGCTGGCATCTGCACCACCTGGGGTGGGTCAGGTTTCCCTCTGGACCACGAGGCTCAGGCCCAGGACTGCAAAAAGTTTTTTAAAAGTTCCTCTACTGTACTAGAAGAAAAATACAGCAAAAAGCATCAAAAATCTTTGAAACATACACAGAAATAAAATTATAGTCAGAAATTTAATGAGACAATGTAGAGATCTACACAATGATTTAAATACAGTAAAGTTTGTCATTACAGTGACAAATATAAAGTTGAAGAGAAATTAAATATTACAAGACAAACTCTCAAGAACTGTAAGCTAGCTTAGATTTTTTATCATAATTACTACCTTAAAAAAAAGACTCCCACAGTTTTACGGATGCTGCAGAAGACACATGATTTTTGGGACAGAATAAAGGACACCATAAAGAGTAGAGATATAGCTCAGTGGCATAGTACTTGCCTGGTAAACACAAGGTCCTGAGTTCAATTCTTGGTACCAAAAACAAAAACAAAACTACAACAAAAGAAAACCAAAGGATGTTATGTATCAAACAGCAGTTCACATTAGCTCCATAGGCTGCCTCTCAACCAAGTCTAAAGAATAATATGTACAAGCCCATCTAGATTCTGTGCGACAGAATGAAACTTTTGAGTGTAGAATTTAAAAACACCAATCACGTAAGTAGGCTGTTAGCAAACTTGAGGAAAATATTCTGCTGGACAGCAATCAAATTAGTCCTCTGCTACTGAGACAAACTATTTTTTTCTTCCCAAGTTGTTCACTATAAAATGATCCTTGAAAAGACAATTCAGAATAAAAGTGCAAAACCGCAAGCAATGCACGGAGAATTGCCTCCTGACACTAAAAACTTACATTGTAGACACAGATTGTGAATCTGTATGACAGGAACAAAAAATCACTTTTCGAAAAATATTTAGTAAAATGAGAAAAAAT